GGTGCAGAGCGGGAGCAAAACGGAGACAGAGAAGGCGGAAATTCAAACCATCTCTTCCATCGATCATAATGGGCAATGATAAATCAGGTGCTGGTCAGCATCAGAAGCAGGGACATGAAAAGGCTCAACAGCCTAATAACAAAGACTGGTTCTGTTCTGGGGACGACTGAGGAACCACTGGAGGACATAATGCAAAGAAGGATTCTCCAGAGAATCAAGAAAATGATGGACAACCCTGAGCATTCTCTTCACAAGACTGTCCGACAACGGAAGAGTGTCTTCAGTCAGAGGCTTCTTCAGTTTGGCTGCAACACTGACCGCTACTGGAGATCCTTCCTGCCAACAGCCATTGTAACATACAACAACTCTTTGACAACTTGATTATTATTATTATTCTGAGCTACTACAGCAATCAATTTCCCTCTGGGATTAATAAAGTATTTTTGAATTGAATTGAATTGAGTGCTAATGGATTGGGTGAGATCTTGCAATATTACATAAGATGACTCATAACAATATTTTCAGAATATGAACAAAGCAGTCGTGATTCCATCATTTATCAGCATACAGGGATCTTAGTTGTAGCATGAAACAAGGAAGGCAATATGTAGTCGTCCAAGTAATTCTAAGTCTTTTATATTGTAATTTTCCAAATTTATAAAAGCTAAATTTTGAGGACTCTTTTTGATCGTTTTCCACCACTGAAAAGATGTAAAACAAAACTGCTTTAACTGACTTGTGTTGAGCTTAAGTCAGATCTTTGACCTCACATTCCCTCTCACAGGAAAACTTGTGCCAAATAATCAATCAATCAATCAAGTTTTAATTTATATAGCACTTTCCACCACCCTCAAAGGGCGCTGGAAGAGAAAAGTAACAAAGATAAAAGTAGTAAGTCATAAAAACATTAAAAACAAAATAAGAACATAGACATTTGTGAGAACAATAAAATGCCAATGAGATAAAATTTTGATAAAAGAAAATTCTAATTAATTAGTTCAAAGAAAGCTAAGAACAAAAAAAAAATTAAACCAGACACCAAAAGCTTTAGGAGAAAGCCATCTTATAAAAATGAGGCTTCAACCTGCTCTTAAAGACTGCCAGTGATGGGGACTGTTTGGGAGTGGGAGCTGGTTCCAGAGAGAGGGTGCAAGGAGTTGAAAATAAATAAAATAATAATAAATAAATTTTAAAAAACAGGTCAAAAATATAAGTGAGTTTCAAACATAGTGTAATAGACATTTTGCATCATAGAGCTAATGAATGTTAGACTTACATTGTGACTATCTTGTGTTTTTGCCTTGTTCAGTGTAAACACGATTTGGCAGGAGGGAAAGTACTGAGCTGGGCTCAATGTTTTGGGACAAGATAGCTGATAAGAGTTTGAACTGAATGTTTTTATCCCTCTGGAAAACAATCTAAATGTTGAACTTTGTTTCACAGAATGTAGTATTACAGATAATACAAAATTATATGTTTTATGTGATTTATTTGTAAATAATGATGTGTTTAACATTTCAGTCATTTAGCTGTATTTTAGATGAAAAACAGTGGTACTTGATTATCCAGGTCCGAGGACTCCGCTGCTAAATCCTCGTATCCATTGATCGATGGATTGATCATCTTATCATTCGTTCCTCGTGAGTTCTCCTGATGCTGCTGTCACTGTGTGAGGTAACCAGACACTATTGTCAGTAATCTAAGTCATGACACGTCAGAGTCCTTCATGGACAGTGGATGGTTTCTATAGTTACTGCCAACAGTCTGGGACTTTCAAGTGTTGGTTACTTTCAGACAGTGCTAGACAGAGCTAGACTTCTTGAATCCTGTTTGGAACGGCTGTTGAGAAGATGAAACTTCATACTGTGATCAAACAGGTGGCTGATGCACTTTAGCATCCTCTTGATACACTCTCAGAAATAGGGGTACCAAAGTGTACCAAAAAGGGTACAAACGCTTGTAAAGGAGCTGGTAAATCAGTGAACGCTGTGCAGAAAGGAGACGAGATCTGCTGTGCAATATAGATCCAAGTGCTGTAATGATCTTGAGACGTAGTCCAGAACAGTTTAAATCGCCGCTGAAAGAATTTTTTTAAACTTGTTTTAATTCATAGGGGTTTTATGAATGGATGTGCTGATTCAAAACATTTTTGATGAGTTCATTTGTGTGCTGCGTGGATCGATGCATCATTGCTTATTTTTTCCTGCTCCACTGGCAGAGCCAACAGTTAATTTAAAGGTGGGGGAAAAAATCTGCCAATTAAATCTGTCGTTCGATTCAATGGCCTCATCTGTAGTCCAAAGCAGGGCTAACACCTTTGACCCAGCTCTCACCCTGTATTCTCACGTCAGTTCTCTTCTTCGCTCTTCCTTCTTCCATCTCAGGAACATTGCTAAGCTGAATCCCATTCTGTCCCGCTCTGAACTTGAGACAGTTCTCCACACCTTCATCTCCTCACGCTTAGACTACTGCAACTCTCTTTTCACTGAGCAAAACCTCCCTGAACCATCTACAGGTGGTTCAGAATGCCTGTGCTCAACTTCTGACCTGATCATCAGTACACCCGCATCACCTCGTTTCTCCTCCAGCGTCACTGGCTGCCAGTAAACTTCAGAGTTAATTTCAAGATAATAATTCTGGTCTGTTGGGTGATCTTCTCACTCAGTCCTTACTCCCCCAGCACTTCCCTGAGATCCAGTGACCAAAGCCTACTGGTTGTGCAGCACCAGGCTGGAGAGCAAAGGTGACAGATCATTTGCTGCTGCGGCCCCCAGACTCTGGAACTCTCTCCCCCTGAGCCTGAGATCAGTGGACTCCTTTAAAAATGTAAAAATGATTGTAATGTATAAATTCAAATGTATTAAGTAATTATGAAAAGGCCAATTAAAATGTCACTGACTATATATAAAAATTAGAAAGGGACTGAGGTTATATTGTGTATGTTTTACAGATAATTTTCTTTTGTAAAAAAGGGCAGAAGTTAGAAGAAAATTCTTATATCTGCTCCTTTTCATTCAAATGTTTTATTTTCATTATGTTTATGTACTGCATTTGCTTTTTTTTTTTAAATAAATTTTGAATGAAATAAAGAGTAAAAAAAAGCACATGTAAACTCGCTTGTTTGGACTAGCTTTGGTGTGACCTTCATCCCTACTTTCTCCTTATTCAGCTCTTTCTACCAATTCTGCCTTTCCCAGGATGCCTTGATTACTTTTTTGTTCGTTTTATTTTCCCCTTAACTTACTATTTTTTACTTTTGCAGAATACAGACTTGATTCACTGGAAACGTTGTCAAGTTGAATATTTGATTAATCAACAGAGATAGAATATTCAAATACTAAAATAATTGATAATGGCAGCCGTAGTCCAAAGTCATATGTGTGATTTCATTTCATTTATTTATCAGATCCCCATTAGCTGCTGCTTCGTACAGCAGCTATTCTTCCTGGGGTCCGACACCACAATACAGCAACCAATATTTACAATAAAATACACTCAAACATTCTCATGTCACAAAAACAAAAAACACAAAAAAACATCTGCTCAAACTACACAATAATTACAAACCATGGCAAAAGCTGCATCAGCCGTTTCGGACAATTCCTTCACATGTTCAGTCACAATTCCCATAACTAAAACAGTATAATAAATACATACTAATACTAAATACTACATAATGTAGTATGTACATTTTCCTCCGAATCTTAGCAACATTCAACATCCCAGAAGAGAACTTAAGAAAAACCCAGATATTTGTTCACTCTTCAGAAAAAGGTTTTTATTGTTGATCAGTCATTTAAAGAATGGCGAGAGTAAATAGGAGAAGGCATATAGAAACTAGCGGCGGCGTGATAGTGCCTCTTTGTGCTGATGTTTGTGAATAGAGTGCTGTGAGGGTCAGAGTGACGTTGGTGCTACCCACATCCTGTCCGTGATGGTTGGGTACACAATGTGGAGGAGATATGAGGGTTTTATCAAAGGAAGGAGGGTGAAAATATCCGTCAAAACCATATCTCTACAAACACTGGGAGTGTGTGTGTGTGCGTTTACAATTTTATAATGAACTGAGCCGAGTTCATCCAAGTAGGATTGTTCTGGTGTTTTAGCTGATTGCCAAGTTCATGATAATAGTTGGACAGGAGACTAGTTTTGTTTTAGTCAATCTTTCGGTAATGTCAGACAAAATAAAGATAAATATCGTGAAATATTGTCATAAATAATCACACTGCTTCATCTGTTCTTACAGGGGGAACACAGAATATTTCATGGCATCAGAACAGCAACTTTACCATGTAGGACCTTTTAAAAATGTAGTTGACTAAGAATCATCAGCTCTGAGATTTAAAGATGTGGTTAGTGTTCAAGCAGATTGTTAAAAAGCAGTGTTGTTTTCTTTCTGATGGCACACGCTGAGCTATCCTCACGTGGCGGGAGTGAAGCTGTTGACACCAACACTGACACGATGCTTATCAACCAACATATACAGTCTAAACCTTTCTTTCTTTTGGCCCGTATACCTGTTGTTTTACAGCAGGTGTGTCCGGTAGGGATTCGGAGTGGGGATGGTGGCGTGCGCCTAATTTCTGCCTGGATTTCCATTCCCTTTCTTCAACGTGTCTGTGTTTTAGTTTCGTTTTGAGAGAATGCATTTAAATGCCCTGTGCTGGGGGATGGGAAATGATAACAGAAATTAAAGGGCACCACTCAAGACTATGACTCTTAATTACCTGTTTCCAAAATGTTTTTACTCGTGCATGTTAGCCTGTAGCGCTAACAACATATCGCATATGAAACTTTCAGAAAGAAATGTCGCAAAGAACATATTCTCCAAGTACTATCAGATTTGACGAGATCTGTTATTTTAAAGATTTGACAAAAAGATCTTAAGATCTGCCGTGAAAGGGATGACAGCATGATTTATTTGGAATTGATGTGTGTTATTTTTGCTTTTTTAAAATTGCTAATCCGTGCTAACATTACCAATTCATTTATTGTTCCAGTCATGTTGCTGCCATCTTCATCACTGCTGCTCCTCCTCGGCCTCATCACCTGGAGTCCCAGTAAGACGTGGGGCGCTAAAGTGATCGTGGTCCCACCCATCATGTTTGAGTCGCACCTCTACATCTTCAAAACGCTAGCAGCGGCTCTACACGAAGAGGGCCACGAGAGCCATTTTTTAGTTTCGGAAGGTCGTGAGGTCCCCCCCTCTCCTCACTACCATTTGCAGCGCTATCCAGGGATCTTTAACATGAGCACAGCTGACAACTTCCTCCAATCCAAAGTCAGCAACATCTTCTCAGGCCGCTTGACATTTCTGGAACTGTTTGATATTCTTGACCACTACTCTCAGAACTGTGATGCTGTTGTTGGCAATGTAGAAGTAATGAATCGCCTAAAGGAAGCTAAGTTTGACCTGCTGCTAGTGGACCCTAATGAAATGTGTGGATTTGTGATTGCTCACATTCTGAATGTGCAATATGCTGTGTTCAGCACGGGCCTGTGGTACCCTGCAGAAGTTGGAGCTCCTGCACCTTTATCATACGTACCTGAATTTAACTCGTTGCTGACAGACCGCATGTCCCTTATTCAGAGGATTGCAAACACAGGTGTTTACCTGGTGCAGCGCTTTGGAGTCCATTTCATCGTGTTGCCCAAATATGACCGGATTATGAGGAAGTATGGAGTAACTCCTCAGGTGGCCATGGCTGACTTGGTGCAAGGGAGTCGGCTGTGGATGCTGTGCACTGACATGGCTCTGGAGTTCCCCAGGCCCACCCTTCCTCATGTGGTCTACATAGGAGGCATCCTCACGAAGCCCCCCAGCCCCCTACCACAGGTCAGTACCTAATTTACAGCAATGAAGTCAGTGTATCTGATTTTTTGTAAAAGCAATAGCCAAATGTGTGTCCATTTAAAGTAGGGGTGGTCAATATGAACGATATAAGGTGGAAATGATATAAAATTGGGTAATGATAGAGTTTTTGGCTATATCGCAATACCGCGATATCGCGATAACGCATGATGTCATTAAGAAGTGCACCCTGCTGACATTGGGGCAACAGAATGGCAGTGACTGCAAGCATGGAGTGGGTGGAGGAGGAGGCCTATATGCCTCAAGTGGCATATATTTGCCACATGAGGATATTTAAAAGCATGTCATTTTGACATATATAAACAGGAAAATATATATCGCAATATATATCGTTACCGCACACGCTTCAGATTACATCGCAGTATAGATTTGAGGCCATATCGCCCAGCCCTAATTTAAAGTTTTTCTTTTTAATAATGTGTGGCCCTATGTGGAATTTTAGATGTTGGAACTGATTTAAGTTGGTGTCGGTACACTTTAGTCTTGTTTTGCCTCAGATCTTGGATCTAAACTCTATTTCACCAAATAGAGCCTGTTGAGGAACCTACAGTGGGGTAAAAAGTGATTAGCAGCCAACAATTGCACAAGTTGTCCCTCTTAAAAAGATGATGGAGGTCTACAGTTTTCATCAAATGTGCACATCAACAGTTAAAGGCAGAATATTTCTAATAGTCCACAAATTCATATCATATAATTTTTACCTTCCATCCATCCATTTTCAGCTGCTTATTCGGGGTCGGGTCGTGGGGGCAGCAGCCTAAGCAGGGATGCCCAGACTTCCCTCTCCCCAACCACTTGGGTCAGCTTCTCCGTGGGAATCCCAAGGCGTTCCCTGCCCAGCCGAGTGACACTGTCCCTCCAATGTGTCCTGAGTCTTCCTTTAGGTGTTCTCCGAGTCGGACATGTCCAGAAAACCTCACCAGGGAGGCATCCAGGAGGCATCCTAACTAGTTGCCTAAGCCACTTCAACTGGCTCCTCTCGATGTGGAGGAGCAGCGAGTCTACTCTGAGCCCCTCCCAGATGACCGAGCTTCACAGTGTCTCTTAAGGGAAGCCCAGAACATTGGAGTTTAGATCTACCGGTAAATTGAGAGCTTTGCCTTCCGGCTCAGTTCTGTCTTCATCATGACAAATCAGTACAACGCCCACATCACTGCAGACGCAGAAAAAATCCGCCTGTAGATCTCACTCTCCGCATCTTTCCCTCACTCGGGAACAAGACTCCGAGATACTTAAACTCCTCCACTTTGAGGCAGGACCTCTTCCCTGACCCAGAGAAGACATTCTATCCTTTTCTGACTCAAAACCACGGTCTCGGATTTAGAGGAGCTGATTTGCATCCCAGATGTTTCACACTCGGCTGCGAACTGCCCCAGGACACGGGACAAGATTTTACACCTGCACAAGACTGGGACAAACCACTCTACAATAGGCAATTCACTTGGAGAAAAGAGATTAAATGTTAGAGCAATTAATAGAAAATGAAATAAAAATAAGAATACTGACTGTCTCCCTTGACCTGGGGCTCCATGCTAGATCTCACCTCATGGGGTACAATTAATGCTAAGAACTGTGAGAACAACCCAGAACTACATGTGAGAAACAAGCCGATGACCTGAAGAGACCTGGTACCACAGTAACAAAGGTTACTTTTAGTAACACACTACACTGTCATGGATTAAAATCCTGTGGTTTGCTAGAGACCATCTGTATGATCCAGAGGCGGACTGGGAGAATGCCATTTGGTCAGATGAGAAGAAAAAACTCTTATACTAGGGGTTGTATCAACAAGTCGACTAGTCGACTTCACTGCTCTGTAGTGACTTTTTACGCCTTTCACCGACTAGTCGCTGTCACGTGATAATGACCGACAAGATGCAGTCCTCGGAAAAGACAGCAGGTGACGAGCCCCTGCGCGTTGGGAGGCGCTGTGCCAAAGCGTCGGTATCTGACGCCCGCAGTAAAACGGACATTTGACCGAATTGTGACCTTTACCCTCTTGCAATTTAACCATCCCTTCACCCCCATCCTAACCTTAACCCCCCCCCCCCCGATCTGCAATAAACGCATGGTCGCCTATCGTAAGTTTTAGCCGCTTCAGATGTGTGGCGTCATCAACGACTAGCCGAAGTCGACTCGATTTTCATTACTTGACGGTCGACTTAAAAAAATTAAGTCGTGCAACCCCTATTTTGTACAAATGCCACTCACTGTGTTTGGAGGGCAAAAATGCCAAGCTGCTTCTCAGCAACACCATCCCAACTGTGAAGCATGGGGGTGGCACCAATATGCTTTGGGGTACTTTTCTCTAAATTGGACAGGACAACGGATCCTTATTAGGGAAACCATGAATGGGCCCACACATCATGAGATTTTGGGCAAAACCTCATCAGTGAGAGCATTGAAGATGAAATGTAGCTGGATCTTCCTGCATTACAATGATCCCAAACACACCACCAGGGCAACAAAGGAGTGGCTACGTAAAAAAGCATTTCAAGGTTCTGGAGTTGCCTAGCGAATCTCCAGACCTCAGTCCAACAGAGAATCTGTGGAGGTAGTTTAAAGTCTGTTTTGCACAACATCAGTCCCAAAACATCTCAGTTTTAACCCTCCCACTGTCTTCATGGATGACCCCACCAGGAAAGCTTGACGATTGGGCAGGGTTGATGGTTTATCCCTTGAGGTCCACGTCGCAAGGGTGAGGAGTGAGCACCACCTCACCCCTGCCACGTGGACCTCAAGGGATAAACCATCAACCCTGCCCAATCATCAAACTTTCCTGACGGGGTCATCCATGAAGACAGTGGGAGGGCTAGAGAAGATCTGCATTGAAGGATTGGGCCAAAATACCAGCTACAGTGTGTTGAAACCTGGTGAATACCTACATGAAATGTTTGACCTCAGTCAGTGCCAACCAAGTTTACATTACAGAGTATTGAGGTAAATAACATTATTGAATTATTTTCTGTAAAATGTTCACCCTGGGCCTGGGAGATCGGGGTTCAAATCGCAGTCGGGTCATACCAAAGATCTTAAAAATGGGACCCAATGCCTCCCTGCTTGACACTCAGCTTTAAGGGGTTGGATTGGGGGCTGCAGCTGCAGCTCACCACTCCCCATGGGGATGGGTCAAATGCGGAGATGTAATTTCACCAGTGTGTGATGACTAATGGGACTTTTACCTTTAAACTAACACATTCATTAATCATCATAGGCAGCTTTATTTATTTGCAATGGGATTTCCTGGACTTGTATTTTTATTTTCTGTCTTCTATAGTTGAAATGTTTCTATGATGGAAATTACAGACCTATCATCTTTTTAGGTGGGACAACTTGCACCACCTGTGGCTGCCAAATACTTTTTCACTGTATCTACAATAGATAACAAAAGTATAACTTTGAGACAGAAATGTGTATCAAAATGGGTAAAATATCAATGAAAAAGAAGAACATTGCATGGTTAAATGATAAAATGGTAACTGCACTCCTACAAATATGGGCTTTTTAGGATTTATATAAATAAAGTTATTTTGCCATAAGCTCATCCAAGACAAGGCCTAGTGGTTATCAGTTTACATTTCTAGTCGTTCAGTCTATAAACGGATGGAAAACTGGTATTGTGAGCACAATAAACAGTTTAGTCCTGAGGGTGTCTCCTGATGGTCTTATTTTGGCAAGGTGTGTGTGTCTTTAAGTGGAGAAATTTTGACTTTAACCTGAAACGTATGGACATTTCCACATTGTGGGGGCATTTTGCTGGTCCACACAATGCTAAGCACCCTTAAACTTGGTTTTAAAGATATGGTGTGAATCAAGCTTTAGTTTAGATCAGTTTAGGGTTAGGAAAAGAGCCCCATTGGTTAGGGTATGGGTTAGGCATAGTGGAGTCACTAAAACGAAGTCAATGGAGGCCCACAAAAACCTATAAATACAAGTTTGTGTGTTTTTTGCCGGAAGAGGACATTTAAATATATTCTGTTTCCAACTTGATTGTGTTAAATAGTTGTGATTAAACCAAAATATTCCTGATTAGAATTATCTTCCAATAATCAAGCATGGTGGTAATTTAGATAGAAGACGGTGTGAAGACTAATACTCATTGGCCTAGTGCAGTGTTTCCCAACCCTGGCCCTCAGGGCACACTGACCTGCATGTTTTCCATGTCTCTGCTTCAGCACACCTGATTTACATTGGCTCCTCAGGAGGACATCAAGTGCTGCAGATGCCTGTTAATATCATTTATTTAGGTGAGGTGTGGCAGCAGGGAAACTCTGGTGTTTAAAAGGGCAACATGGAAATCATGCAGGACAGTGTGCCTTGAGAACCAGGGTTGGGAAAGACTGACTTAGTGGTATGCGTGGCTGCTCTGGGACTTGGAAATCATGGTTCAATTACATGGTCGGGTCATACCAAAGACTTTAAAATATAGGACTCAATGCCTCTCTGATAGACACTCAGCTTTAAGGGATTGGGAGGTTAAACCACCAAATAGTTCCCGAGCGCATCCACAGCTGCAGTTTCCGCTCCCCACAGGGATGGATCAAATGCAGAGATGACTAATGGGACTTTATCCATGTCTGCTTTTTCAGCTCTTTGCTTTGTTTTAACCATTCTTTGTGTTACTATCACATCATGACACAAAGCAGACCTTTATACGCCAGGCTAAAGGCCAGGATGGGTCTGGGCTGAATGAACGTTGGTAAATTCCAGGCGGACGGGGAAAAGCGAGAGCAGAGGCGGGTAGTGATGATGGTTAGTCTAGCTTCGGGACACCGAGAGCGCGGGCCGTCGGTATCTGCTGCTGGAGGTTTTAGGAATGTCTCTGAGGCCAATAGGGAGTATTGTGCTGTGTTGTGCGGAGGGAGATATAATAGACGTGGACGGAGAACGCTGCCATTGTTCTGGGCAGAAATCAGGGGACACTGGAACTCTTTTTTTCTGGGGTCACTGAGGCTGTGTTGTAGGAATAGTAGAGCTGTGCTGGTGGGACACAGAGCCCAGTGTGCCCATGAGGGTGCTCTGTGCCAGGGCCGACCTTAGCTGCTGCAGCTGGACCGTTGGCCTCCCTCCCTCTACTTGTTTTGTGCTCATGTCACTTCAACATGGCTGCTCCCAGATCAGACTCCATCTGCTGTTAGTTAATACAATCTCACTTTATAAAGAGGAATAGGCAGTTCGCAGTTGTTTCACAACAGAGCTCACAGCAACCTGCAGATTCTAACTGAAATTAGTGCCATTCTGTTAAGAAAAATAAAATGTTTTTCTTTTTGCTTTCTACAAAGTTTGAATTGGTAAGTCGGATCATTACAGCATTACTTCCAGGGAATTGCTTTCCATGTAAACATGGACGACTCCTCTTACCGTCTCTTAGAATCCGTCTCCTGGTTCCAGCAACACGCCTTCGAAGGCCTTTGCTCTAATTTTGATTACTCCACTTTTTCTTTAGCAGTTTCAAATTGTCTGGGAAATCTTTTAGTGGACAAAATAGTGACAGCTATTTATCTTATTAGCTACATGTGAAACAAAGGGTTTGAAAGACACAAGACGTATTTTGGCTGTCAGGAGCAAAAGTAACTAATAATTTTATATTTTGTAATTCATAAAATCAGTTTTTTGTTTCCCTGCTAACTTTGTAACTTTACTAAATAAAAAAGACGCATTGTTATTTTTAAATATCACCATATTTGATAGTAAAATTCCTGAAAAGTGATCCGTCTTTATATTCAAGCAGAAATAATTTGATTTATTTTAAGATTTCGTATTTGTTTACATTTAAACGAGATCGAAACCAACATCTGATGTTTTCTGTGTTTCTGTTATTTCTGAGGGACTCTGTATAAAACAGCTCTTTAGTTGTGTCCAATGAGAATTAAGCATAGTTAAATAGTAGCAGTTGTTTTTTATTTAATTTTGTTTTAATTACCTATTAAATGAGATAAATCACACTTTTCAATATTGGTTATTAAACATATAATTAATCATTTCAAGTTAAATGTTTTAAAAGTAAATATGTACGCTCAAAGACTTATTTCCAAGTTATATTCTAAAACAACTGGTATTTTTGCATCATTAATGGGTTTTAGTGCTTTGTCTGATGAAAGTATTTAGTTTTAGCTACTGATGATTTTATTTGTCTTATTGGATGTATTTTCACCCACGTAGGCGACACATAATTTAACCATGAAATAAAGTCAGTTTCAGAATGTAACAATAAAACCAAGCAACTTGGTTTACATTAAAAGTATTTTTTAATGTCTTCGAAAACTACAATGCTTAATATCTGTAATGAAGATTATTTGAATGTGCTTGTAAATGTTCCTCAAAAGCAAAAATATTTAGCAGTTTATCCACAGACCGACTTTTTTTTTGTCTTCTTCCTGCAGGATTTTGAGGTGTGGGTGAATGGCACGACTGAGCACGGTTTTGTGGTTGTGTCGTTTGGAGCTGGAGTCAAGTACCTCTCCCAGGACATCGCTCACAAACTGGCAGGAGCACTTGCCAGGTTGCCCCAGCGTGTCATCTGGAGGTAACACACACACACACACACACACACGCTCAGCTGTCGGTATGAAAGATGTGAACAGGACCTTTTATGTGCTGGGCCATCAGTTAGCAGCTATATTGCACACTCTGAGGGCTCATGGTGCCACATGACTTGGACCCCATAAACAGCTGCGCTGGTGGTAAAGAACACTGTAAACCGAAGGCTGCTCTTAGTTCCTGTGATATGGGCTGTTTGTCCAGGTCAAAGTCCATCCTTACCGAGGCGTGCTACAGGGTTTTCTCTATTTGTCTGGCTACTTTGCTGTACTGAAACCAGAACCTATCCAGTTCACATTTTAACATCTGAAATTCTTTTTTTAACACCAGTTTCCATTTATTTGTAGTTATTTATTTATCTTCAGCTCTCTTAAAGTGTAAAAGCCTTTTGAATAATTAACACATTGGTAAATGGTAAACGGCCTGTATTTGTTTAGAGCCTTCTTAGGGTTCTACAGCCCCCCAAGGCTCTTCTCAACAGAATCTGTCATCCATCCATTCACGCGCTGAGCAGCAGTGTAGCCACAGTGGCTCTGGGGCACACTGATGGAAGCAAGGCTGCTGCACACTGGCGCCACTGGTGCCTCCAACCACCACCAGCAGAGAAGGCTAGTTAAGTGTCTTGCACAAGGACATAACAGCAGAATTCTCTGGTGGGAGCCGAGATTGAACCTACAGCCTTCTGATTACTGGACAAACCCGCTCAACCTCCTGAGTTACTGCTGTCTTTTTTACCTGATGAAGACAGCTCCTTGAACGGCCTTAATTTAGAGAAATGGAAATGAATTCCGAATAGATCTGAAATGTTTACCCCGATCCCACAATGAAAGCATCAGCGGCGCGGAACGGTAACGGATCGTCACTGCTTCAAATAGAATCCATTATAGTCTACTGACTGTTTCAAACCAGCAGCGACGCAGCAATTTCCAGGCGCATCCCAGAAGCGGCATGCTTCGCTTAAGATAGGATCGGGTTCTATTTTTGCCGCGAGTCGCTTCTGGGATGCGTCCATTTCTGCTGTTAACATAAGACTAGACAGTAAATCACACACAGTTTCAGTATAGAATTTGGTAAATTTCAAAATAAAAGTACTGCAGCGATTCAATTTCATATATATGAAGCTTGTGTGTGTGACCCAATGGCTTATTTACTCCCAGCATTGTTGTAGAAGTGCAGCGGTGCGTATTTCATGACTTTTCATGACTAATTCTGGCAGTGATTAAAGTCATGATCACCACATTGTATATGATAAAGGCATAGCTTAGCAAGCCATCCTATGTATGTGAAAATGTAGTCTGGCCACGGCCCATTGATGGCTTTCAGTTGTGGGGCGGGATCTGCGCTTGTCTTTCAGACTGTCTGCATGCTATTGGATAACAAACAACGTGATGTACTCCTCACTATGTATGTAGGTCAACGACGCTGTCTGCCATACTCCTTCAAATGAGACACAAAAACATCCTTTTTATGAATAAACTTAAGTAACTCTATCTGCTCTTGACTCAAAGAAAAGTCCAGGTCTAAATAGTTCAAAGTTAATGCCAAATCTGTTTCAAACGAGCCATCGCCGTCTTTGTTTTATCTGTAAATCCCGCCCACCAACAGAGGGCTGTGATTGGACCACTATGGAGCCTTGGCCATGCTTTACATCTTTCTCTCCTATTTTTAGTCCCTGCTCTGTTGAGGTACCTGGCAAGGCTGAGTCGGGCTGACTCTGTGATTCTGGCTGCTGATTGGCTAGGGGGCAGAGTTACTGGTTGCTCTGGTGTCTGGTTCAGAGTCTGACAAAGTCATACAACTGAGCAGAATGTCCAGCAACATCACCATTTTTGTGCTGAGTTGGAATTCAGTGGAGTATACAAGTTACCTTACACTGATCATGTCATGCTATTCTACCTCACCCCCACGAGTGGCACACCCACTTCCTGTCATGGAGGCATGGAAATGAAAGTACACTCAGATGGGCTGACTCAAACCTCACTGTACAGAGCTGTTTTAGGCTGACTGGTGCTCCTAGAAAACTAGCTTTAGTTTTGCTCTGTTGCAGCAACATTCTACCCACCTGGCTAATGGAGTTCTGTGATTGGCCCACCAAACCAATAGAGAGCAGTGATTGGACCGCTACGGATGTCAGTCTATGGGGCAGTCTGCCATTACATCATGGAAGAACTACATAAAGCATAAACAAACATAAAACAATACATACATTTTTTAAATAAACGCCAGCCACAACACTGGCCGAGGCTATGGAGGTTCCAATGGAGCGTTGGTAAAATGGTCTAGATAAGGGGCAGGCAACCCTGGTCCTACAGAGCCGCAGTCCCGCTTGTTTTCCAACTATCTTTGTTTTTCCTGCTGTTGATTACCTGGATTAGGTGTTTTCAGCCAATTAGAACACAAGTCCATGCATGGCTGGAAAACAGCCATAAAACTGCAGCTCTCTAGGACCAGGGTTGCCTACCCCTGGTCTAGATTAAAGGCCAGTATAGGCAGTTAAACACACACTCATCTTCAAAGCTTCTCATTTCAGGACACTTACAAACATCTTTAAAGCTGTTAATCCTTAACTCTTATCTTGTTATATTTAAAAGCTTGTGAGTCATTGACTGCAGTGGTCTCAGTTACTTTGAGTCATGACATGGGTGGGAGGAAATTCCTTCTTCCAAACTAATGATCCTTTCCTACAAAAACAGTTTGAATACCTTCCCTCCCTCCCAAAAACTAAAATAAAAACTTCTGACCGATGCCCTTGTGTTTCCACACCTGGCCTCTCCAGTTAAGCAGCTGGGTTAATGTTTACGTGGTCATCTCACAACCGTACGCAAAAGTTTAAATTATGACCTTTCATTTACAGAATCATACTTTAATGTAGCTTTCAAACTTCATGTTCAATGTAAAATTGTTGCCTCTTTGAAATTTCTGCAGATTTTTTACATTTATGCCAAAAAAGCATCTCTTTACCATTGGAAACTAAACCCATTTGCCATAATTCGGTGTAGCCTCGCCTTTGTCATCACACATGATACATAATAAAGTTGAAGGATCACATTCTGTTGCTCATTTGAACAGACAAACAGCTCTTCTATCTCTGGATAAACAGATTGTTCTGTTGGAGATGTGTGTAGGAGGAACATCGGACAGGAACGAGGACAAAGATTCTCGCTTTGTCCCTTCAGGGTTTATCTGCCTGTTCCCAAGAATGACTTGATGCTGAGTTTGTGACAAATGTAAACCAAGCCTTTTTATTTGTGATTATTAAAACATTATATCTAATTTATATTAACCTGTTGAGCAAAAGAAATAAAAAATAAACATGGAAGAAAAATAAGTTTTAGTATTTGTACATAGTTACAAATGGTGACTTCAGAAGCTGGTTTGTTATCAGTTTATAAAAAGAAGCTGACATCAGTCATATAACAGGAAAGGAACATTTGTCATGAAGATGACAAAGATAAGTAGGGATGTACAGAGATAACCGGTTAACCTGTTAATTGCCGTTAACGTTATAACCGAGTAAAATAGCTTTGCCCGGTTAACAGCTTTTAGTCCTTCCGCTGCATTTGGGTGTAATATTTTTGTGCCACTAGAGGGTGCAAGAGTGCCACTATCTAAATATTTATTGGGCAACAGCAGGAGAAGAAATTAGCTTGTCACATGACCAAGCAAAATCTCTAGGTGTTTCTCAATGTCAAGGCACCTGGCCTTGAGAGGAGATGCCTTGCGAGGCCAGGCCCCTGCATACGAGGACACTGTCCTTCCTTGGACAAAGAAAACAGTAAAATGAAACAGACTTGCATCACGTGATCGCTGCTTCCACAGCGGTCACGTAACGTCACGTGACATGGGAAATAATGTTATATTTTATACGTATTAGTTTCGATATAAATATAGAATGAGCTTTTTACTTTTTAAATTGTGTATGTTTATTAAATTAAATATAGAAGTGAGTTACTACCCGCTAGCCCCCGAAGCTGCAACTAATAAGCAACTAACCAATCATAGATAGCTTCTTTGGATCTAAAAAAAACATTTTAAATTAGTTGACTTACATTTAAACTTGAAATTTGCCCCCAAAGTAGCTGCCGGCTTCTGATTCGCTATCCTTTTGAAAATACTGCAGTGTATTCTGGGTAATTTTTTGACCAAGGCTAGTTTACAAGACACCTCCCGTGTATCCTTGCTCAGCTAGCTAAACGGCTAACAAACAGAGAACACACGCCTTGGTAGAACACGAACATTGGAACACGTCTTGGCGGTTCCTGATGAATGATCTCCTAGGCGGGCGGGGCCAAGACATCAAAGCGAGGTTCCTTGGCATTGAGAAACACCCTCTGGCTCAAACACGGATAAGTTAGCAAACAGTGTGAGGGCAGTTTATTCTTAGTCATTTCATTCTTGGAACACAATAAGCCTCACATCAAAGTGCTGAGCCTGGCAGAACATGGTGCAGCAAACTGAACCGAGACCAGCAACAAAATGTCAGTCGGCCGTGCGCTCCTTCTTGCCTCTGACTCCTAATTTGTGTTTAGTTCAATGTAAGGAAACTAAAGTTGCTTGTTAAAACCGTGGCCTCCAGAATGTTCATATAAGCTTTATATATATATATATATATATATATATATATATATATATATATATATATGTATATATACATATATACATATATACATATATATATATACATATATATATATATATATATATATATATATATATATATATATATATATATATATATATTAGGGCTGCACAATATATCGAAAAATTATCGTCATGGGGATAACAGGACGTGCGATAGGCCCATTGCAAAGCACGTCAAAAATGACGATAAATGTTTGGTTCAAACATTTCCATCCATGTCATATATCAACTTTTTGTAAACCAGCTCTGTTTTTTACGCGGAAGTATTATTTGACCAATCAAATGTAGTCCTTCTGATATGCGGCCAATCAGATGGGTCCGTTCACGTAATACGCCCGCCCCCTA